GGGTTTGAACTGCCAGCCGTCTGGTTAGCAGGCAAGTGACTTAGCCACTATGCTACCAGAGCTCCTACTAGAGCTCCTAAAACACACTTTAGTTTTCCCTAAAGGAACCCAGTGGCACAGTGAATGGTTAAAGCACTAGACTGCTAATCAAAAGGTTGGTACTTCGAACCCACTAGCTGCTGTGTGGGAGAAAAGACCTGTTAATCTGTTCCTGTAAAGATTACAGCTTAGGAAACTCTATGGAGCATTTCTGCTCTGTCCTGCAGAGTTGCTATGAGTTAGTATCAACTTGAAAGCACACAGCAACAGCAGTTTTCCCTTTTATTAAATTGGGCCGTTAGAACTATTGCATATTGTCTATCAAATAGTAATAAAAGATTTCAAAATAAGTACTATAGAGAACTTTAGAGAATACCAATTCAGATAAATTTTCTTTTTGTGTTGCTTCAAGCTTACCAAAGAAGAGAATGGTGGACAAAAAAATCCATTACTCAGCCAAATCTCAATCTGAAATACAACTATTTTCTAACACAAATGACTTTGTCAACCAAATTTCTTTCATTATATAATGGTATATTATCTATTGCTATGTAACAAATTACCCCAGAATTTAGGGACTTAAAATGGTAAACATTTATTATCTCATAGGCATTTCTGTGGGTCAGGAATCAAGGAGCAACTTAGCTGGATGGTTCTGGCTCATGGTTTCGCTTGAAGTTGCCATAAAAATGTTGGCCAGGAATACAGCCATCTGCAGTCTTGACAGGGGCTGGAGGATCTGCTGCCAAGATGGGTTAACACTTGGCTGTTGTTAGGAGGCCTTAGTTCTTTGCCATGCAGACCTCTCCATAGAGTTGCTTAAGTCTTCTCACAGTGTGTCAACTAGCTTCGCCTAAGCAAGTGATCTAATAGAGTTGTTGTTGTTAAGTGCTGTCGAGTCATCTGCAACTCATGGCGACCTCATGTACAGCAGAACAAAACACTGTCCGGTCCTGTGCCAGCCCCATGATCTTTGCTATACCTGAGCCTATCGTTGCACCCACTGTGTCAATCCGTCTTGTTGAGGGCCTTCCCCTTCTCCAGGGAATGGTCCCTTCTTACAACATGACCAAAGTATGTGGGATGAAGTCTGGCCATTCTCGCTTCCAAGGAGCATTCTGGCTGTACTTCTTCCTGGACAGATTTGTTAGTTCTTTTAACAGGCCATGGTACTTTCAGCATTATTCGCCAACACCACAACTCAAAATCATCGACTCTTCAGTCTTCCTTTTTCATTGTCCAGCTCTCACATGCATATGAGGTAATTGAAAATACTATGGCTTATGTCAAGCACACCTTAGTCTTCAGGGAAATATCCTTGCTTCTCAGCACTTGAAAGAGGTCCTGTGTAGCAGATTTGCCCAATGCTATACAACATCTGATACCTTGACTGCAGCTTCCATTGGTGTTGATTGTATAACCAAGTAATATGAAGTCTTTGACAACTTCAATCTTTTTACCATTTATCATGATGATGCTTATTGGTCCCATTGTAAGGATTTTTGTTTTCTTTATATTGAGGTGTAATCCATACTGCAAACTGTAGTCTTCAATCTTTATTAGAAAGTGTTTCAGGCACTCTCACTTTCAGTGAGCAAAGTTGTATCATCTGCATAACGCAGGTTGTTAATGAGTCTTCCTCCAATCCCGATGCTGTGTTCTTCTTTGTATACTCCAGCTTCTCAGATTATTTGTTCAGCATACAGATTGAATAAGTATGGTGAAAGGGTACAACCCTCATGCACTCCCTTCTTGATTTTAAGCCATGCAGTGCAGTGTCCCCTTGTTGTGTTCAAATGACATCCTCCTGGTCTGTGTAAAAGGTCGTCATGAGCACAATTAAGTGTTCTGGAATTCCCATTCTTCTCAATGTTATCTATAATTTCTTATGATCCACACATTTGAATGTCTTTGCATAGTCAATAAAACACAAGTAAACATCTTTCTGGTATCCTTTGCTTTGAGCCAAGATCCATCTGACATCAGCAGTGATATCCCTTGTTCCACATCCTCTTCTGAATCCAGCTTGCATTTCTGGAAATTCTCTGTCAATACACTACTATAACCGTTTTTGAATTATCTTCAATAACATTTTCCTTCCCTGCGATATTAATGATATTGTTCAGTAATTTCCACATTCTGTGGAATGGATACAAATATGGATCTTTTCCACTCAGTTGGCCAGGCAGTTGTCTTCCAAATCTTTTGGCATAGCCGAGTGAGTGTCTACAGAGGAGCATCTGTTTGTTGAAGCATATCTGGGTATCCTGTCAATTCCTGGAGCCTTGTTTTACACAACTTCCTTCAGCGCAGCTTTGACTTCTTCCTTTAGTACCACTGGTTCTTGATCATATGCCACCTCCTGAAATGGATGAACATCAACCAATTCTTTTTGGTATAGTGACTCTGTGTATTCCTTCCATCTTCTTTTGATGCTTCCTGCATCATTCAATATATTGCCCATAAAATCTTTCAGTATTGCAACTCAAGGCTTAAATTTCCTCTTCAGTTCTTTCAGCTTCAGAAATGCCAAGTGTGTTCTTCCGTTTTGGCTTTCCAACTCCATGTCTTTGCACATTTCATTATAATAATGGACTTTGTCTTCTCGAGCTGCTCTTTGAAATCTGTTTAGCTCTTTTATCTTGTCATTTCTTCCATTTGCTTTAGCTACTCTCCATTCAAGGGCAAGTTGCAGAGTCTCTTCTGACATCCATTTTGGTCATTTCTTTCTTGTTTTTTAATGGCCTTTTGCTTTCTTCATGGATGATGTTCTTGATGTCATCCCACAATTCCTCTGGTTTTCGGTCATTGGTGTTCAATGCATTAAATCTAAATCAAATAGAGAGATGGAGGAAGAAATTGTGACACTATTTATGGCCTAGTTGTAGAAATGACACACTCATTTCCACCATATACTATTTGTTAGAAGTAAGGACTACCCATACTCCAGGGAAGTAGAATTAAGCTTCATCTTTTAAGGGAAGGAGTACCAAAGAATTTGTGGTGCTGCCTAAGGCCTGCAGCTCAAAACTTCTGTGGTATGGAAAGGAGGAGGAAAGAAAGAGGAATCAGATAGGGTGTTTGGGAGAAATGCATATGAGTTCAGTGACATCCCAAAGTAAGCTGAACCATGCCTGAAGTCTCCACCTCAGTGGGTTTGGGAGACCAGGCTTCCAGCTCCCTCACAGGAATCCCCGAGCCTCTGTGACCTAGCAGGCCCAAAGGGTAGAGCTGGCTCCAGGATCATGAGCACGGGGCTTGCACGAGTGGGAATGGAGCTCTGGGGTTGGTGACAGGAGGGAAGTTCTGACCCAGCACAGGAGGAAAGTGAAGTGCTTAAGCTCTAGGACCTCTTGTCACACAGCCTAGCTTTATCCAACTTTGTCTTCTCCAAATCGCCTTCTCCGCAGAGCAATGATCCATAACGGGACTCATCATATGATGTGATGAGCACATCAGTAAATCTTAGCTTTATTATTTCTATGATCATATTTTCTAAATTTAAAAAAAAAAATCAGATAAATGGGTAGTCTAAGAATAGAAGAAAAAAATCGTCCATTGTGCATAATGCCAATTTTTGCATAACGAGCTGGTCTTTGAAACCTAATCACATCAATAAGTGAGGAATGGGTCTACCTTCTCTGAGTTCTGTGAGTCATTCTAGTGAATTATCAATCCCAAAGGAGTAATGAGAACCAACAGGTAAAGTGAGCTTGTGACTGGCATCCTGAAGGAATATTGGGAAAACACCTAATTTGCACCCAGGAAATTTGTGTGAACTCCCAAGTTTGCATAATGGACAGTCTGAAGGACAGTATCCTTTTAACTTGAGATATTGCCCCAATTCTGGGTGGCTAGGGGCTAGAGAGCGGGAGTGCTGTGGGGGTGAAGTTTGGGGGCTGGAGTTACTGATGATTGAGAAGTAGGAAAGTGCAGATTTGATTAATCTTCACATTTTGGAGATTGGATTTATGTTGTTGATTCTTATCCATGAATGGAGATAATAAGAACTATCTTGTTATAAGGCTTCGGTGAGAAAATATAAAGTCCGTTGGCTGCTTTCTTTCCTTTCTATCAAAAAGAGAAATGTAGTTGGAGTTTCATTTGAATCTACATAATACTGGAAAATATAAAGAACTTAATCAATTCTTTCTGTAGGTCCAGATGCTACGATATTTTATATGCATTAATTTCATTTCATCTTCAGAATTGACTGGAGAAGTAGAACCCTAACCCACTGCCATTGAGTTGATTCTCTCTCATAGTAACCCTTTAGGGCAGAGTGGAACTGCCCCATACAGTTTCCAAGGCTGTAAATCTTTATAGAAGCAGACTCCTCATTGTTCTCTGTGTAGTGGCTGATGGATTCAAACTGCTGACCTTTTGGTTAGCAGCCAAGTAAGTCCTTATATGACTCATGCTAGAGCCCCAAATCTAGACCTAAAGGTGATCAATTGCTAATGCAATCAGCAGCCATTTTCACAAAGATACAGTCATGGTTGACACACATACTTTTCACATTCTTTATTGTGAAATAAATTTTAAAATGTTCTGCTTCTTCTATATATATGTATCATTTGATTTTGCAATAGAGTAAGTAGATGTGTTTTGCCTTTTGTAGCATTCCTCTTCCTCAGCTAAGGAATATGATAGAAGATGTTGCTCAAACTTTAAAATTTATGTATGGTTCTCTAGATAGGTAAGTACGTCTTGAAATTGAATCCTAAGTTTTAAGTATATGATCCTAAATCAGCTTTTCCACTTCATCCTGTTCCTTGCTTGGGAAGATACCTGTTTGTTTTCCTTTTTATTTTCTCATCTTTCGTTAATTCTTTTATTTTACAATTGTAGGGATACTTCATTTAATCCACTGTTTGTTTATTTGGTTTTTTTGGGGGGGAGGGGAGTGGGTCTCATATATTACTTTAGTGAAATAGTAGTATAACCACAACTATATTCTGATTTGACCTATCTCTGTAGGGGCAAATGTGAGAGCATTACTTCATACATGTACAGAAAACAGTAAGAATATTTTAAATGTTGTGTTATTCTCTGCTTTCTTTTAAAAAAAATAGTTAAAAATAAATATACTATTATCATTTTTAAAACATAGGTAAAAGACATAAAGTACAGAAAGGTAGTGTGACTAGTTTTATGTGTGTTTCTGTTTAAAGACACTTTCTTTCATGTATATTTTTTGATTAACATTAAACTCATAGCCAAAGTACTATAAATTATGCCTTAATGTGGCTTACCTAAGCCTCATAAGTTCTCTGTAAAGCACTTCACAGCTTTCTTGCACTTACGACCACTCGACAGCACTTTAGCACTCTTCCTGGGGACCATTTTTAAAAGTGCAGTCACCAACAATAAGCACAAAAATGTGAAAAATGTGGCACTAGGTAGACCACAGAAAAGGTATTTATTTACATTATAATAACTGAAACAAGAAGGCAAAACATCCACAGCTGGAAACGTGTGTATCAAACACCTGGATTTTTTTGCCACTCAGTACATATCCATGGTGGCATACTGCCTAAGACATTTGACTGCTAACCAGAAGGCTGGCACTTCAAACCCACCAGCCACTCCTTGGAAGGAAGATTGGGCAATCTACTTCCGTAGTGATACTGCCTCAGAAATCCAGAGAGGGGTCGCTTTGAGGCAAAAGGATATGTGCCACAAAAGTGCCACACATATTGACTTTAGGGTCACAAATAAATTTTAGCAAGTACATAAATTTTCAGATATGGAATCTGGAATAATGAGGATTGCTGATAACTCTTTTTCTACTTCTGATGAGCAAGTAGCTTCATTAAGATTGAGTGGCATAAAATGAGGACAAGTGTTCTGGGTAACCAAAGCCAAATTTTACCTGCTTCACAGTTTTGCCTAGTCCATCTTACCCAGGTGCTAGCATGGGTTCATCTAAGACAGGACCTTCAAAAGTAGCCTCATTTGCTCTTTTAATAAGGTTACTAGCTGGATTAAGCTATAAAAAAAAAAAAAAAATTAAAAAAAACCTCACTGTCATTGAGTCAATCCCGACTCATAGTGACCCCCTTTGGGTTTTCAAGGCAGTAAATCTTTACAAAAGTAGATTGCCGGTCTTCCTTCTGCAGAGTGCCTGGTGGGTTTGAACCACCAACCTTCTGGTTTAGCAGTCAAGTGCCTTAGGCACATGTGGCCAGAGCTTCTTGGATTAAGCTATAGACATGATACATTTTAATTTTAGCAAAGTCACCCTCAATATTTTAATTAAGATTGAAAAATGTGGTTAGACCTGGGTTCAAATCCACCTTCACTGTTTACTAGGTAAATTATTTGGGGCAAGTTGTTTACTAGTCTGACCTGCAATTTCTTTATATATAAAATGAGAATGATAAAAATATCTACTTGGTGAGTTATAAGGATTAGAGAAGTTAATACATGAAAAGCAGTAATGCTGTACATGTCACGTGATATACATTGAAATATTTGCTGTAATAATCATAATGGTGATGTTGATGATGATGGGGATGTGAATGATCAAGGCACACTCCATCAATAAAATTAGAGCACTGATTCTTTTTGTGGGAGGAAGATAAGGAGGAAAGCCTGTGTAGACTGAAAATATTCGTTGCCCTTAGGATCACACAGAAATGACCACTGGTTCTATATGTCATTCTAACTCGTAGTTGTTTCTACAGTGCATTCTGCCAGGTTGAGAATGTTCCTCGTTTGGATCATTTTTTCAACTTGTTCTTTCAAAGAGCACTTCGGCCTACCAAACTGCATTCAAATGTCAATTACAGTACACAGCAGTACGATGCTTCCAGTGCGGTACTTTTAGACAATCTTCCTGGAGTTCGGTGGCTCACACTTCCACAGGAAATCAAGGTAATCTTAGTTGTTGCCAACAAGCATCAGAACAAAGCTCCTTGTAGTCCTTATTCTTCTCTTTTTTTCCCTAGGCTTTTTGTTTCTTTCAGTATTATGAATAAGAATTAGAGAGGGAATTAATTGATGAAGTAGGTATTGTAGTGCAGTGAATTTAAAAAGACAAATTATTCTTTCAGCTGAAAGTTAACTCTTGTATGTTGCATCAACATTTAAACTTTGTACAAATTTGAATACTTTTCAGAAATCATAATTACATGATATGTCTTGCTTTTAAATTTTGTGACTTTGATTTTATAATGCAAGCTCCCCAAGTTAGGATTATGTTTATACACAGATTAAATTGGACAAAATAATGGACTAACAAGCAACACCCTTAATTAAAAGACAGATGCCAGTAATGATAGCAAAATCTTTCCATTGAACATATGTGACTAAAACTATTGGATTATCACATAGATAACTTCTCAAGGTAAGGAACTTAATGATGATTAAGTATTTACCAGTATGATCTTGGTCATATCTTTATACCCAGAATAACTCTACTATTGAATGACTGATAAGATCATTTCAGGTATTTTTGTTAGGGTAGATCATGATATAATCAATCTATTTAGCCACAACACATATATTAATATTAAATTAGGCACTGGGCCATAGCCAGTTCCCAACCCACAATGAAACTCAGGTTATATTGTCCTAAAAACCTACATCAATACTCTGTTCCACTCTTCATGAAATTCTACAGTGTATTATTAAATAATTGGCTTTTTGACAATTTGATAATAACTTAAACTAGTATATCAATCTCTTTGCTCAGTTTCCTCATCTGTAAAATGGGGATAATAATAGTACCTACTTCATAGAGTTGTGAGTTATTACATATAAAGTACTTAGAATTGTGCCTCACACATTGTACTTGTAGTTCTTAAGAATATTATTTTGTAATTATTATTTGAAAGGAGCTGTAATTTAAAGGAAATGTTGCCTTCTACTTGACTGCCAACCAGAAGGCTGGTGGTTCAAACCCACCAGCCACTCCTCGGAAGGAAGGTTGGGTAATCTACTTCCCTAGTGATACTGCCTCGGAAACCCAAGGAGGGGTCACTATGAGTCAGGTCCGACTCGATGGCACATAACAATAATGCAAAAACTAGTTTTATTTTGTACTTACGTCTGTCAATTGCCTGATGATGGATCTTTTGATGTCACAGACTAATGGTTACCATTTTCCTAAATCATGTAAAAACTAAAAAGTGTGGTGATAATCTAACTCAGACTTCACCAGTGTTTTCATAAGAAAATACATGTTTATTTTAGATAGTAAATAATTAAATAACTTTACCTTTAAATTAGAAAGACACCTTTCTCATGCCTAACCTGGGACTATTTTCCTATGAAAGACACTGGGCCTGCATCATGAGGACTGCCGTTCTGGTCTTGAAGTTACCCAAGTTCTTTCACCTGTCTCAGAATCTCTTCAGTAGAGAAACCTCTTCCCTCAAAATGTATATAGTCTCCTCTTTCTGCAATAATAGGGTACTTAGTGTATTTAGAGGGCAATGCTTTTAGAGGTTGGATACATTATAATTAAATACCGTCTTCCCTTCAAGAAATTTAAGACTTTTTAAGATATAGCCTTTTTGGTCTTATAAATCCCATGGTAAAGAACCCCCTCTTATATTCAGATTTCTTTTTTATATGGATTTTTTTTTATTTAGCATATATTTGATTGCAAAGACTATTTTTTATTTCAACCTAAAAGAATATCAAACAGAAATCACTGTGTGAATTCTGGTGTATATTTTTGTAATTAGTTGTCTCAGATTATACCTGTCTTATCTCACTGAAGTTTTTGTTGCTTTTATCCTTGCTAAGTCTAGCCACTACTGTGCAGAGATCAGTCTCCATTGTCCCAGGTGCTCAGAATTGTGCTGTGCTTGGAGGACTCCAAAAAAATCCTCTTAATAGCCTTTGAGTATCAACCAATCAGTTGCCATTGAGTCACCTCTGACTCATGGTGTCCTCATTTGTTTCAGAGTAGAATTGCATCCCACAGGGTTTTCATTGGATGATTTTTGGGAATAGATTGCCAGGCTTTTCTTCCAAAGTGCCTTTTGGTGGACTGAAACCTTCAACCTTTCCATTAGCAGCCAAGCATGTTAACCATTTGCACCACCCAGGGACTCCTATCCTTTAGATTAAAAAAAGAAAGAAAGAAAGAAAAACAACTCACTGCCATTGAGTTGATTCCAACTCACTTTGGGTTTCCAAGGCAGTAAATCTTCTACAAAAGTAGATTGCCCAGTCTTCCTTCCACAGAGTGGCTGGTGGGTTTGAACCACCAACCTTCTGGTTAGCAGTCAGATGCCTTAGGCACTGTGCCACCAGAGCTCCTATATCCTTTAGATACATGAGATTAATACGTTGTTATATGTTGTTGTTGTTGTTGTTGTTGTTGTTAGTTGCCATTAAGTCAATTCCAACTCATGGCAACTCCATGTGTGTAGAGTAGAACTGCTCCATAGGGTTTTGAAGGCTGTCATCTTCTGGAAACAGATCTCCAGGTCTGTATGTGCTGGCATTTCTGGGTAGGTTCAAACCACCAGCCTTTCATCTGGCTTTCGAGTACTTCATCATTTGTACCATCCAGGGATTCCTGATTAACTTATATGAAATACAATATAGCTAGACATTTTCTTTGTTTTGTAATTTGATTAGGAGAATTAACAATATTTTTGGGAAGAGTTATAAATTCTGTCTGATTAAGTAATCTAGAAGTCTCTCTGATGAATATAAACTTAGAATAACATAATAACCTTTGAAGTTTTTATTTTGGTTTTACCAGCAAACTCAAAAGAACTTACACATTTTCCTTTTCTCTTACGGGATTTCTTATTGAAGTAGTAGGATTACTGACTATGTGTCTTCTAATGGAAAATATTAAGGAAATTTTTGGCTTAAGAAATCTAGTGAAAGATATATGTGTGTGATGTAATTTGTGCCTGGTTAATTTTAGGTGGAAATAAGTTGGGTTTTTTTTTTTTTAATTTTAAAAAAAAGGCTTTTGCTCTGTGTTTAATATATGATGAGGTCCCCCTTCAGTTTTCTTTCTCAGATACTTGAGAATTTCTTTTTTCTATTTATCTGTTTGTCAAATGTCCTCTCTCTCTCTTTAACTGTATTTTCTAGAGTATACTAGAAAAATTAAGAGAAAATATACTTTATCTTTTCTTTTCAGGAGTATGAAAGGACAATTACAGTAACCTTGCACATTTGCCCGTAGAGTTCAGTAATAGGAATAGCAAATCATTAAATAGTTTCTGAGATCAAAAACACAAGTGAATAATTTTCTTTTTTGTCTTGTAATTTTTCACAAAGAGAAACTATAGCCACAAAAAAGGAGAACATGAAGTATTTGCTAGATGGTGAAAAATGTAGATCACAAATGACTAATAAATCATACTGTGTAAAAAGCGTAGAAAGGCATGGCTAATGTTTCAAAAGCTTTTGTCATCTCAGTAAGACACAGTTTGTGAAACATAGTCCTGCAGAGAGTGCCTTGGCCTTTAAAACATAAACAAACGAACAAAAAAAGGTTCTTTTCCACAAGTAGCATATATGCTATAAGCTTCAATTGCTGAAATTTTAAATTTATGTATATGTATTAAAGATTAAACTGCCAGTTACATTTATTCTGTTTTTAAATTGTGATTGCTTCAAGGAAGAACAAAGGTAACACATAAAGAGCTTGGAAAGTTTCCATAGAAACAAAACCCAGATTCTAAGTAAGAGATTTTTCTAATAAACTCTGTAGGGTAGTACAACTGTTCCAGATTCCAGGGGAACACTTGCCTTCATGTTTTAATCAATGAATGAAGATTGACAACCCTTTTATACAAAACATTGTATCTAGGAGAGGACAGGGAAGAATGTTGATATTTTCCAAGAACACAACTGTAGAGAAATACACAGGAAGTGAAAAAACAAAAACAACTAAAAATAGGTGGCTACATTGAGATTGATTTTCATTTTTCTCTAAGAAGCTAAATGGGTTAATTTCTTTTTTTTTTTTTTAACTTAAAACTGAACTTTGACCTCAAAATTTTTTTTACATTGAATATAGGGAAAGCCTGTTTCACAATAATTAAGATTTAATTTAAAAAAGATGTATTAAATAAATTATTTTTTTGTAGTGATCAAGCTAAAAACAGAATGTTTCATTTTAGGACATTTCTTAAGTAATACAAAGGGACAAGATACTAATTATTCAAATAGTTACTGAGCACTTTTTATATGACTATTACTGAAAACTATTATAAGTCAAATGTTTGTGTAACTTTTTTTTTTTTTTTTAAACATAGATGGAACTAGATGCAGCATTGAGTAACTTGGAAGCTGCAGATTTTGCAGAACTGGTAAGAGAAGAAATGGATTTTAGGAATATCTCAAATTGATTTCTTATTTTGTCAATTAGTCCTTATTCTAAATATTTACCAAGTACCACATGTAATAATCTTGAGATGCATATTAGGGCTCTGTTTTATTTAGTACTACATAAGATAAAATCTATTTCACTTGTGTTAAGATTTTCTACTCAGTTTAAAATAATTGTTCTACAATATATATTGTGGAATTGAAAAAAAGAAGGTTAATTGTATTGATGTCATTAAGAACTGAGAGAAAAAGAACTGCAGGAGATAATTTTCTAGACAAGGCAATTTGAGGAGGAAGTGACTGGAGTGGCAGGGTGGCCTGGCACATACGCAAAAACGTTCCTGAGGTACATACTGTGTACCTCAGGAACGTTTTTGCATGTGAAAGGCTTTTGGAAGACTTTTTGACAGTATCATATTCTGTGCTGTGAACATGCATGATTTAGTTAACCATTTTTCTATTGTTGAGCTTCCTGTTATCTCCCAATTTTGTCATATTACAAATAATTCTACATTAATATTTTATAAAATAAAATCTTGATTCTCTTGCTTCAGTATTGCTATAGATTTCTAGAAGTGGAATCATTCAGTGTTATGAATTGAATTGTGTCCCAAAAACTATGTGCTGTAAATCCTAACCCCTGTGCATGCAATTATATAATTTTATTGAATATGCAAAGGCATTTGACTGTGTGGATCAAAACAAATTATGAACATTGTGAAGAAGAACGGGAATTGTAGAATACTTAAATGTGCTCATACAGAACCTGTATGTAGACCAAGAGGTTCAAACAGAACAAGAAGATACTGTGTGGTTTAAAATCAGGAAAACTGTGTGTCAGGGTTGTCTCCTTTAACCATGCTTATCAAATAGATATGCTTACTCAATCAAAAAAATAATCTGAGAAGCTGGACTATATGAAGAAGTACATGATATCAGGATTGGAGGAAGACTTATTAATAACCTGTGATATGCAAGTGACACAACCTTCCTTGCTGAAAGTGAAGAGGACTTGAAGCACTTGTTATTGTTGTTAAGTGCCGTCGAGTCTTTCCGACTCATAGCGACCCCATGTACAGCAGAACGAAACACAGCCCGATCCCGTGCCAGCCCCACAATCCCTGGTATACTTGAGCCCATCATCGTAGCCACCGTGTCAATCCATCTCGTTGAAGGCCTCCCCCTCTTTCGTCGACCCTCCACCCTACCAAGCATGATGACATCCTTCTCCAGGGAATGGTCCCTTCTGACAACATGACCAAAATAGGTGAGACGAAGTCTGGCCATTCTTGCTTCCAAGGAGCATTCTGGCT